CATGGCAATACATCAGCTTAGGCATTTTCAAAAGATCCTCATATTGGCCACTGCTGCTTGTGACCGTTCACGGTTACGTGGGTCCAATTATCTAAGTACTTGGAAGAAGAAGAACCCTAAGGATTATAGATCAAATCAGCTGGTGCTGATAGGAGCAGTGTACTCTCAGTCATGGAAGACACATTTTCCATCTTGCTTTGTTTTGAGTGAGACAAGTAATGTAGTGGATCAAGTTGGTGATTTTAAATTTTTCTTCCCCAAAATTTCACTCAATAGGCTAAAAAGATTCTTTTACATGTCTGTGACTCCAGAGTCACCTCCAAAGAAGCTTCAGGTATTCCTGGCAAGAGATAATCAATTTTTATGAAGCCTGCCAGCTGTGCAAAATGTTAACAATGTGAGGATTTTCCTATGAGACTGCTCCGTGTTGTGGGGGCTATGCCCTGACACCTCTGCTATTTTGGGCTTCCTAAAAGCCATTTGGTCATAGACAGAGAATGTTTCTTAACTTTGGTCACAGACAGAGATCGTTTCTTAACTTTGGAGCAAGAGTGCCCTCCCTCATGCACTCAAAAAGGAGAAAGCTAAGGAAAGATTGTCCTATCTCAAACCTTCAGGGAAACAATTTGCAGAGCTCCTATTTTACACTTCCCTATGATTCAACAAAATCTCCTGTATAGACCTGGAGAAAACCAGCTTCAAAAAACCAGAAATTCCACCAAGAAAGGAGGTTCATTGATTCTGGGAGGAACTCATCTGCAAAAATCAGCCAGGGCATCCAAGTTCAGGAACACAATGTATTCATTGCCAGTACCTGTACAAAGGTTGGAAGCTGCACTGTGTGGTCCAGGGAGGTCACTCCAAAATTCTGCCAAAATTCTACACCAGAAAGTTGACCAGAATTAAGCCTGTTGAGAAAGAAGTAATTTGATAACGGTTTATTGAAAGCCCAAATGTGAGGATCAACCTAAGAAAACACACCAACAAAGTTGAAAGTGTTTCAGAGTCTGTTACAAGTTGGAATGCTTTTGTAGGTAGGGTCAGGAGAAGGAAGAGGGACTTTTCACACCAGAATTGTCCTTTCTCATTGGAGGATACAATATATATACAATCTGATCATTGGATTCAGATTGCAACATACAGGCTCAAATGTCATCATGTAAGACAATCAGTAAAACTTTATAATTCAGAAATAAGTCAGCACTCTTTCCAGGGTCAGTGGGGTATGCATTAATCAGTGTGTAAACAATTTGAGGATCTTATCATGAGATTCGGAGACAGGATTTAACCATAAATTACAAGAGCTTCCCAAGGTAGGTTAATTAGGGAAGCCTGTTTACTTACAAATTAAACTGTCTAAAGTGGCGTGTAGGTTTTCACTGTCCTTTCTCTGCTTGCCATGTGGATGCAGAGAAAAGAGGGTCTGCTGAACCTGAAACTGACCCAATTGTCCCATAGGACTGATGCTTTTAGTTTCTTTTGAATAAAGATGAAAATTGAGCCCCCAGTTTTGAAACCTCAGAAAGGTCCATTTGTCTTATCTGAGGTCCCTTCTCAGGCCTCTCAGATTGTATCATGGAGCTGAAATTCACTGGGTCACCACATCTGGACAATGCGACCCAGACCCCTCATCCCCCAATGACTGCCTAAGTGACTACCTGTTTCTTGTTGACATATTCTTTTATTTACCCTTAACTCCTGCTTTCCTTCATATAGTTACATTTCTGCCCTATAAACTCCTCATTTTAGTCTGCTAGGGAGATGGATTTGAGACTGATCTCCCATATCCTTGGCTGCAGCCCCTGATTAAAGGCTTCTGCCTTGGCAATACTTGTTGTCTCAGTGATTGGCTTTCCGTGCAGTAAACAGCTGGACCTAGATCAGGGTGTTTCAATAAGAGATTTTAGTTCCCCAACAGGAAACATGTTGTTTGTGGCTTGGCTGCCATGGGCCATGAGTCTCAGGGGCCCTCCTAAGCAGCTGCCCACCCAGGTGTGACTAGAGTGAATTTTGGTTTCTCTCTGACCCTACTGCTTCTGGCCCCAACCACATTCTTGATTGCCTAGAAAGAACGGCCTTTGAATTTTACATCTGCGTCTGGATAGATGAGTGTCCTCTGTGGGCCCAGACAGCAAGATCTGCTCTTCTCTATTGGGGAATATTTTGAAGGAATTTCCATTTCCAGGTTGAAAAAGCCCAAATGACTGAGAGAGGGAAGCACCCTGATTGTTTTGGTATGGACTTTTTTGATGACTTGTTTGTAATTGTGTGTGTGTCCCAGCAACTGAGTGTTCATTGCAGGTTCTAGACAGTGGGATTGGCTCCTCTTGATTTGGGAAACTCCAAAGGAATTTCTGTTTACAGGTTGAAGAAGCCCAACTGATGGAGAGAAGAAAGCACCCTGACTGTTTTAGTTGGAACAGTCTCGGGGCATGTTTGTTGTGACAGCAGATGGATCATTGCGTTTTGGTGATTGTGTGTGTGTGTTGATATAGTTGACTTAGAATTTGATAAACTGATATTCTTTTGTCATACTGTTTAGCACCAATATTCCTTGGAATTTGGAGTTTCATCATGTTGACCGGCTGGTCTCAAACTCCCGACCTCAAATGATCCACCTGCCTCAGCTTCCCAAAATGTTGGCCCCAGTGTTCTTTAGAGTCTGGGGAGATTTGGCCTTTAAAAATCAAACTTCCATGAAAACTGCTTCACCCAAAATTTCGGTGCACAGCCTTCACTGGATTACCTGCCAAGGCAAAGTTTAGCCATGTTAACATGTTTGTAGACTGGTGAGTTTGTGTTGCTATCTCATGGCTAGAATTATTTTGTTCATGTGTATACACATTTAGATGTGTTCGTGTGTATGTACCTTTATTATGTTATATGTATGCCTACCAAATTGACTTAATTAAAGAAAAAGTGCTGGCCAGGCATGGTGACTCATGCCTATAATCCTAGCACTTTGAGAGGCCAAGACAGGTGGGTTGCTTGAGCTTAGACATTCGAGACCAGCCTGGGCAACATGGTAAAAAACCTCATCTCAATAAAAAATATAAATAAATAAAAATAAAAGCATTCATTAATTAAGTTCAAAATATTTTTCAAGTTCAAATGACTTAAGAAAATCTTTAATAAACAAGCTGGCTTTACAATTACTGGTAGAACAGGCCAGGCACGGTGGCTCACGTGTGTAATCCCTGCATTTTGGGAGGCTGAGGCAGGTGGCTCACCTGAGGTCAGGAGTTCAAGACCAGCTGGCCAACATAGAGACAGCCTCTCTTTAGTAAAAATACAAAAATTAGCGAGGCGTGGTGGTGGGTGCCTGTAATCCCAGCTACTCGGGAGGCTGAGGCAGGAGAGTCACTTGAACCTGGGAGGTGGAGGTTGGAGTGAGCTGAGACAATGCCATTTCACTGCAGCCTGAGCGACAAAAACAAGACTCCATCTCAAAAAAAAAAAAAAATCATCAGTAAAAAATAGAAATGTCTTCAGAATTGTTAGCATAAATTTCTCTCTGGGTTTTATATTTGTCTCTGTTAGACATTTTGAGGGGTCAGAGTTTGGCACAGAAGGTTATAAAACTATAAACCAGCCAGGTGTGCTGGCTCATGCTTGTAATCCTAGCACTTTGGGAGGCTGAGGTGGGTGGATCACCTGAGGTCAGGAGTTCAAGACCAGCCTGACCAACATGATGAAACCCTGTTCCTACTAAAAAATACAAAAAAAAAAAAAAAAAATTAGCCAGGCATGGTGGTGGGCACCTGCAATCCCAGCTACTCAAGAAGCTGAGGCAGGAGAATCACTCGAATCCGGGAGGCAAACATTGCAGATCGTGTCATTGCACTCTGGCCTGGGTGACAAGAGTGAGACTCTGTCTCAACAACAACAAAAAAAATTAATTAAAAAAAAAAAAAACTATAAACCCAGCCAATCAAAATGATCTTTCTTTTAATTAGAAAGACTAATTTAATGTTGTTGATTGAAGGAAAACACTTGAATCTTCTGAGTTATTGGTGAAAATACCTATGTAGTTAATTTAAGGTTCTTACTTAGGTGAACATTTGAAATTCACAGATTATAAAATGGTTAACAAGGAAATGATGCATAAATAATCTAAAAAACTACTGACTCTCATCTGTTACAACAAAAAGGAGAAACAGTTACAAAGTCCCCCACCAGGGCAAGCTCAGGCACTGTGGAGATGTGCCCAGGGAATGGCTCCAAATAGGCCCCTCAAATTCTGCCACTGAAAGGGGACACATGGGCAAGACATATCTTACAGCCTAGAATTTTCTCATATATGTGGCTTTAGTCTCTTCTTTATATAGTGACTTTGTAGATGAAGAGAAATTACCACACCTTACATGCCAAGTTGACTAAGTCATGGGGGCTCTTCCTCCAGGTTCCCAGAGCAAAAAGCAAAAAGCCTTGTACTCCCTGGTGCCCACCTGATCATCTTGCCCATGGATTTTCCCTCCCAGAGGTACTGCTGCAGGCCCAGAGCCCTCCAAGCAGAGAACTGACATCCAGGAACTCCTTCCCAAGCCTTTTCTTCAACTCATTTTTGCTTATGGCAAGAGTGTGGGTTGCAGTGATATCTCAGAAGTTTATTCCATCATATTAATTTCTCAGTAAATCACCCTTTGACAAGTCAGTTTAAAGAATACAACACAGACAGCTAGAAAAGACACTATTTCTGGGCCCGGTTTTGCCAGCTGTATAATAAATTGATCAAATTATCTCTAATTCATCCTATTTTTGTCACTAGTCATGTCAGAATCTCTGCTTTCATAAACAAAACTTTTCTGGCCTGACACACAACCTCTATCTCCTGAACTTTTCTGCAGACCAAAATGTTTTCTGAGACCTCCACTCAGTAATCCTTAATGTTTCAAGGAGAGAAATTTACAAGTGTTCCCTTGATACATAAAAAGGTCACATGTTCTAGGGTCCCAGGGTCTCACTGATTTCAGTGATGTCTACATTATCTCCCCTTCTAGCCGGAAAATTCAAATATTTGTAAGGTGTGCAACAAAGGGGGAACGCTGTTTTGCTGTGACACTTGCCCACGATCCTTTCATGAACGCTGCCACATCCCGCCTGTGGAAGCTAAGAAGTGAGTAAGACGTGTTCCCTTCCCTGAACCCTTCCTTCTTGTGGTACAGCTCCTCCCACCACTTATACATACTCTATAGAGTTTCGGTCCCTGGTTGCGTGTGTCTTGATGCATAAGGAGCATGCTCCTTGGTATCAGGATCCACAAGTATTATTCAAAGCTGTTGAACAGTGCTGGCAGTAGCAGATTAATGGAAGGTAAAAACTCTTTGAGTGGTTATTGGGTGCAATAGTAAGAGGTGTCAACCTCCACCTCCCCTGCTTGGCTCCCAGACTCATGCCCTCTGATGGGGTGATGCCATCATACACGGCCAGCTGGTTTAAAGGATATGCCATCTGCTGTGGGACCATCACACAGCGGGTAAAGCCAGTGCTGCAGCAGTTTATCAAGCCAACTGACTCAGTCACAGGTCACATGTCGAGACCTGGGAATTCTGCAGGTATGAGTCCCCTGCTCACTTCCTTTGCTATAAAATGTCCCTTTGGATAGAGGTGATGGTGTGCAGGATACCATGGAGATTGATAAGGTGCTCTGTGAGTGGTGTCGTGGACAGAATTATTAAGGCTGAGAGGATAATGTCTACCAGGAATGTATCTGTCTCTATGAGGGAAGAGCATTGCCCTTTCATAATGGAGGAAGCTAATGTGATCCACCTGCTCCCAGGGTGTCATCTCAGGGGATCAGCATAAACCTCTGCTTTTGACCAGTTGGGCAATCTGCAGAGGCAGAAGAAAAATCAGCTTTTTTGTTGAACCCATGGATAGACCCCATCTCTGCACCAGAGATGCAAAGTATTCTCAAGGGAGCACTTCATAATAGGCTCCTTGAGCAAGCACTACATGGCCAAGGAGATGCTGGCATCACTAGGATGGGTCATTGTGCTTGCCTGATTATCAAGAGCCTTCTAGCATAGACAGCCTGGTAGAAAAGGTTGGAAAATGAATCTTGGAGCACATGGAAGATATCTGACACCTTGTCCAGAGATTTCCTTTTCAAGAAGTTTCTGTAGCACAGATGCTAGGTATAAGATATGGCAGGGCCAAGGGAGGGGGCCTATAGCCTGTGCTCTGTGCTTACTCAGTAAAGTTGAGAAACAAGACCTCATTTTCTGATTTTTCTATGATCTGATTGACTCATTGAGACCCAAGACTGTGCTTAAGGCATTCATTTCCAATAACTGACTGGCAAACAGGGCTCACTATTAAGTTCCCGGTGGCTCAGATGGGGACCTGAAGTTTTGAGGTGAATGAGATTCCATCACTTACTGGGCACTTCACCCAACAGATGATCACCCCTGCTACCGATATTGGTGGGAGGTCACGCCTTTGGCTATCGAGTCCAAATGCGGCTCTAGTGCAGAGGCCTCCAAGAAAGAAGTTGGATACAAGGTGGAAACCACCAGTCATTCTTGAGCAGAGGATTTGAACACCTGTGGGAATGGCAGCTGATTGACAGAACTTGCCATTGCTCACTTTACGCCCAATCTCTCAGGGACCCGTGGAGTTGCATCTTCTGCAGGATAAAGGCTATTCAGGAAAGATGCCCAGAAAGCCAACCATGTCATCAGGAATCTGAAGTCCTGATGAGGGAGATGCTGCCCAAGGAGCAGTTGGTGAGTTAAAAACGTGAACTTGAAGCCTCCTTTCTGTTCACCTGGGCAGGAGAAGCACAGTCTTGAAAAGAGCTCAAGGAATGCAGCCCAAAGGCAAACTGCTGGCCCATGGCATGCTTTCCTCCATGACATAACACTAAATTTCATATTCCAAGAAAATTCCCCAGTCCAAAGAAAATCCCCATTCCTTGTTTGTTTCAAAGAGTCCACAGGTTTGGGAGTCACATGTTCTCTTTGGGCATGCATAAGAGCTCTTTCTCTCTAAACTGCATTTAACTTGAAATGTCCTCCATCTTTTGCAGAAATGTGAATTCCTTCTCTTGAAGGTCTACTGTGATTCAAAAAGCCCCTTTTTTGCCTCAAAACCATATTATGTAAGTAACAGCCAAAAATAAAAAGCTTAAACTGGCATTTTTCAGATCTGTGATCTGAAATCCATGGTACCAGGTGCCATTCTATTTGCCTTGTTGATGAGTTTTTAGTTCAGGCTACTATAAAAATTTATCATGGATTAAGTGGCTTAAACAACATAAATGTTTTTCTCACAGTTCTCGAGGTTACATGTCCAAGATCAGGGTGGCAGCCGGGTCAGGTTCTGGAAAGGACTGCCTTTTAGGTTGCAGAGAGCCACCTGCTCCTGAGTGGCTGAAAGAGATGGAGAGAACTCTCTGGATTCTCTTTTATAAGAGCCCTAATCCTATTTATGAGGGCTCCACCCTTCTTAACTCATGACCTCCCAAAGGCCCCACCTCCTAGCACTTTCGCAGGGGGGTTAGGATTTCAACCTACAAATGGGGCAGCCAACAAACCTTTATTCCTTATTAGTGGGAGTCCATGGGAGGCAGACTTGGCACTAGGCTGATAACTTCACTTTGTTCCGTTTCTCAACAGAACAGAGAGGGGTCTCGGGGCCCACAGAAGCCCATGTGGTTAAACAAAGTCAAGAGAAGACTGAATGAGCAGGTGTACTCCCGAGTGGAGGAGTTTGTGCAGGATATGCGTCTCATCTTTCATAACCACAAGGAATTTTACAGCGTGAGTGGCTCTCCTTGCTTCCTTTTCTCTTCTTTAAAGTCACTTTCCCTCTCATCTTTTTATATCAGGCAAATGTTACAATGGCCCTTATCATGTGACAACCCTATACAAGTACAAATCCTGGAAGTATCCTAAAAGCCCTGTGGTGGATGTGGGGAAAATAACAAACTGAAAGGTGTCATTAAAAACATGACCCTAGAACCTCAGAGTTGACTCACTTCTAGATGGTTTGTTTTCACCCGTAGAGAACAGTAGGATGCAGGCTCATTTGTTTCTACTGGAAGTAGAAGTGAACATTTAAGGCATTTAAAGTGTTTTCCTTCTCTAGAAGAAGATACCAAGTCAAAGGTCTTTATATCTGAATTTCCTGGCACTATTTCGGAAATTAACAAGGATTATGACAAGGTGTGAGAGTGAAGGGAAAGGAAGACATTGTCTTAGACAGTTCTGTACTATCATAAGGTTACCAAAAAATGCTGTGCATAAAAATCGCACAACTAAAATTTTAAAATTTAAATTAATCCATAAGCTTTTGATCAGGAATTGGATTTCAATGTAGTACTATTTTGGCTTCTCTGTCTTCCAGATAAAGATAAATAATTATCAGGGAACATAAGCAACTCTTAAATGGATTAATTCTCACTTAACATTTGGGATAACCTAAAATGAGGCCCTGGATTATCTGCAACACTGGGTGTTTCAGCACATTGCACAATTGTTTTTATTTTTGCTTTTTCAGGAAGATAAATTCATCACACTGGGAATTCAAGTACAGAACACCTTTGAGAAGAATTTCAAAAACATTTTTGCAATTCAGGAAACAAGCAAGAACATTATAATGTTCATTTAGCTCATTCTTATCTCATTTCTTCAGACCCTCCTGCAGCTAGCTACGCAATGTGCTTGTGGTCCTACTAAACGGACTACTCCTATGGAAACTCCACATTACACTTCTTCTCCAAAGTTTCTCATTGCCATTTTAAAACAGTCTCATCAGCTTTTAATAAAATTCAACACCCCTTCATGTTAAAAATTGTCAATAAGCTAGGTATTGGGGGAACAAATAATAAGAGCATTTACGACAAACCCACAGCCAACGTTATATGAATGGACAAAAGACAGAAGAGTTCCCCTTGAAAACAGACACAAGATGAGTATTCCCTCTCTCACTGCTCCTAGTCAACGTTGTATTGGAAGTCTTAGAGCAGTCAGGAAGCAGAAAGAAATAAAGACATCCAAACAGGCAAAGAGGAAGTCAAACTTTCCCTGTTTGCAGACAACATTGATTCTATATCTAGAAAGCCCCAAAGTCTCAGCCCAAAAGCTCCTTCAGCTGATAAACAACTTCAGAGAGTTTCGGGATACAAAATCAGTATACAAAAATTACTAGCGTTCCTATACACCAACAACAGCCAAGCCAAGAGCCAAATCAGGAATGCAATCCCATTCACAATTGCCACAAAAAGAATAAAATACCTAGGAATACAGCTAACCTGGAAGGTAAAAGATCTTTACAATGAGAATTACAGAACACTACTCAAAGAAATCGGAGATGACACAAGCAAATGGAAAAATATCCCATGCTTATGGGTAGAAAGAATCAATATCATCAAAATGACCATATTGCCCAAAGCAGTTTACAGATTCAATGTTATTCCTATCAAATCACCAATGACATCCTTCACAGAACTAGATAAAACTATTTTAAAATTCATATGGAACCAAAAAAGAGCCCAAATAGTCAAGGTAATCCTAAGCAAAAAGAACAAATCTGGAGGCATCGCATTACCCAACTTCAAACTATGTTACAGGGCTTCAGCAACCAAAACAGCATGGTACTGGTACCAAAAAAAGGCACATAGACCAATGGAACCTAACGAAGAGCACAGAAATAAGACCACACACCTACAATCATCTGATCTTTGACAAAGTTGACAAAAACAAGCAATGGGGAAAAGTCTCCCTATTCTATAAATGGTGCTGGGATAACTGGCTAGCCATATGTAGAAGATTGAATCTGGACCCCTTCCTTACACTATATACAAAAATCAACTCAAGATCAATTAAAGACTTAAATGTAAAGCCCAAAACTATAAAATTTCTGGAAAGCAACCTAGGCACTACCATCCTGGACATAGAAATAGGCAAATATTTTATGAGAAAGACAAAAGCAATCACAACAAAAGCAAAAATTGACAAATAGGATCTAATTAAACAAGAAATTCTATACAGGAAAAGAAACTATCAACAGGGTAACAGACAATCTACAAAATGGGATATATTTGCAAACTATGCATCTAAAAAAGGTCTAATGTCCAGCATCTACAGGGAACTTAAACAAATTTACAAGAGAAAAACAACCCCATTAAAAAGTGGGCAAAGGACATGAAAAGACACTTTTCAAAAGAAGACATACAGGTGGCCAACAAGCATATTTTCAAACCTCAATATCACTGGTCATTAGAGAAATGCAAATTAAAACTACAATGAGACACCATCTCACACCAGTCGAAATGGCTCTTACTAAAGGGTCAGAAAAATAACAGATGCTAGTAAGGTTGCAGAGAAAAGGGAACATTTATACACTGTTGGTGGGAGTGTAAATTAGTTCAACCATTGTAGAAAGCAGTGTGGCAATTCCTCAGAGAAATAAAAGCAGAACTGCCACTCAACCCAGCAATCTCATTACTGGGTACATATCCAGAGAAATATAAATTATTCTACCATAAATAAATATGCATGCAAATGTTCATTGCAGCACTATTCACAATAGCAAAGATATGGAATCAACCTAAGTGCCCATCAATAACACACTGGATAAAGAAAATGTGGTACATATACACCATGGAATAGTATGCAGCCATAAAAAAGAATGGGATCATGTCTAAGGAACATGGATAGAACTAGAGGCTGTTATCCTTAGCAAACTAGCACAGGAACAGAAAACCAAATACTGCATGTTCTCACTTATAAGTGGGAGCTAATTGATGAGAACTCTTGAACACAATGAAGGGAACAATAGACACTAGGGTCTACTTGAGGGTGAAAGTGGGAAGAGGGAGAGGAGCAGAAAAAATCCCTATTGGTATTGAAATAATCTGTACAACAAACCCCTGCAACATGAGTTTACCTATGTAACAAACCTTCACATGTACCCCCAAACCTAAAATAAAAGTTTTTTAATTGTAAATAAATTGATCATTAATTTAAAATGTTTTAATAATAAAATAGTCTTATCAAGTTCTCTTATTGAATAATTTAAAGCAAAAGCTACAATTGAAAACCTAAAGGATCATATTTTATCCTTCCATTTATTCAGTTTTATACTTTTTGTTGTAACTGTGAAAGTAATCCTTTCCCATTAAATTTTATTTACTGATCATTACCTATTACAGAAAGCTACTGTTATTTATATGTAATTTTGTCACTGATTACCATACTGAGTACTACATAGCATCATTTTCACCTTTTACCCAGTGGCATCAGGAAGCCTGTGGTGGCTACGTAGCATCTCTAACTTTCAATTCATGGAATTCTAATTGATTAAGAAGATGGAAGCATTCCTCACTGGGCACTAAAACCTCTGATAATTCTTGTTTCTGTTGGAAAATGATTCTGCCAAGGCACCCTGATGTATTTGTATGTGTAAAGGAGGAAAACATAATTTTTTCAATATTCATCTAAGTTTCCCCTACCCAGATCCTCTGGGGCCCCTGTAACAAAAGACAGATTAACAAGAGAAAAACAGAAGTTGGTTAGCATATCTATAGCATGTATATAGCAAGAGAAAAATAGGAGTTTATTAGCATATATATACACACATGCATATATATGTGTATTATATATATATTTATATATATATGTACACACACATGGGAGATACTCAGAGAAATGAATAACTCTCCAAGAGGTGGTTGAGACTTCAAAGTTAAATACCATCTCCAGCTAAAGACAAAGAAAGAAGAGTGTGGGAAAGTAAGTTATGGGGATGACCAGGAAGAGCATGGTAAACAAGAGTAAGGTTTGTTGTGCAGATTTGAGCTGTATTCTGCATTGATGAGAGTCCCTTGTGATTTAGAATCATCCTTCTTTTCCTGGTTCAGAGAGGGAGACATCCTTAGGAATGGAGATGTCCTTTGTAAATGTAAACTTTCCTAAACAAGAAGTAACTTCTACTTTGTTTTTAGAGCTTTTCCTATGTCTCCTATTTCTCAAAATAATCCTTATGCCAAAGAAGCATATTCTAGGGTGGCATATTCTGGCCTCCCATAAATGTCTCCACATAAACCCCAGAGGCAGAACGTAACTGCAGCTGATCTGATCTAAGTCTTGGCAGAATACCTGTGGTCCTTCCAGAACATTTGCACATGGAAGGCATGAGAAGAGTGGCCATTCCCCACTCTCCTGCGCATCTTTTGGAGGCTACCATGACACTCATTACTTCCTAAGTTCTGATGAGGTCTGAGGCTATTTCACCCCCGCTAGGTAGCCTGTGATATAATATCCATTGTAGTAGGGAAAGCAAAGTGGAGACCCTTGAAATTGCCATCCCCCAAGCAAAATAATGCAATTGCAGGGACTGGCACTCTCAATGACCTAAAAAATATCAACTGGTCTCCATAATATCCCTAATCAATTCACCTGTGGGTCATCACCTCTGTTAAAAACAGATCACTGTCTTCATTGCTTGATGTCCAGTGTTGTGTAGATTGTGTGGATTTAGTTTTTCAGGCGAGTGGGTAAATCTGGTCCCTGTTAACTCTCTTGATCTTCAATCAACAAATTTTTAAGGCACTCCACTTCTCTATTAATAAACAGGATATTTTACAGATAAATTGTGAAAAATTTTAAATGTTTAGTGTATAATATGTTAAGTTTTAAAAGGTAATAGAACAGTAAAATATACAAAATATGTTATGTTTGTATACATGTATGAAGTATATTTATAAAATTGCAATATATTTTATACATTTATAATGTACATTTAAATATTTATACTTATAATTTTTATATGTGCGCACTAAAATGTGTAAAAGGATGTAACCAATGTTTACAAGGAAGATATATATTCTAATATTTGATATTTTCTAATAAAAATACTAATTATATGAATATTTTGAAAAAATATAAGCACTTTGACTTCATCTGAAGCAAAGCACAGATCACCCCACCACCCCAGGGATGGGCCCGTGGCCACCAGGAGTACAATGTTTCTTTGAAAAGAATTCACCGTATCAGAAAGGAAGGAGGCTCACTGTGCAGACCACTGTCTATGGAAACTTTGAAGGCAATAAAATAGTATTCTATTCTATAGGGATCTTCTCTGGATCAAGGTGTGGTTTTTCAGAAAGGCAAAACATGGCACAATAGTAGCAGTTCCCAAAGTAACAAAATCAAGGGTTTTTCCACAGCACTATGGCCAGTCTCAGCACAGATTCCACCAAAAGCTCAGCACAAAGCAACAAGAATTCAGATTGCAGAATTTCAAATACAATCTGTGGGGGCCATTGAAAAACTGAAATTCTCTGAGGGAAAAAAGTCTTGAAAAGCCACTAGACCTGATAAATTATAAAGATGTTGCCCAGCAAACTGGAAAATTACCCTTTTTTTCCCTCTAGAGGAAGAATTTATTTTGGGAGTTCTCAACTATGGTATAAAGCATCAACATCAGATCAGCACCATGTTTTGCATAGGCATGCTCTATTCTTAATCATCAGATGTCATGTTATGATGATGGTCTGGAGGCAGGAAGAAGTTTAGTGACTCTGAAGACCATGCACTTGTTAGCAATGAAGAATACAGCCTGTGGGCTTATCAGTGCAACAGACTGGAACAAGCACAAGCAATCTGCAAAGTTTTACCCACTGACTTTTGACTCTATATTGACATCAGAAGAATCTTCAATTCTGCATCCTAGTGGAAGTCAACTTAATCTGAAGGTTCAGCTCTTCTCTACATAGTAGTTTTGTTTTCGATCTGCAATGTTGTACTTTTCTGGAAATATGAAGTAATTCCTTGCTCTAGAATTTCTGAAAAAAGTACACTGTATAAAATATTGATCATTTGTTTTATATTAAAATATAATCATATTTTATATGATTATAATCAGTGGGAAAAAATAAAAATTATAAATTGCCTTTTCAAAAGTCTATCAACAAGGCCAGGCATAGTGGCTCATGCCTGTAATCCCAGTACTTTGGGAGGCCAAGGTGGGCAGATCACTGGAGGTCAGGAGTTCAAGAACAGCCTG